CATTAGGATTGTAAAGTGATGAAGTAACTATTTTCTTGTTTTTATCAATTGTGTTATGATGGTACATTCCAATCAACATGTTTTTTGAAATTTGTTCAGCACCACATTTGCATAAGCTAATGTTCCTAAATGATTCTTTAAAAATGTGAATAATTGACAGCAATCTTTAATTGACTTACAATATACCAGAGTCTTAGGACATAAATCACATTCTGATTGCAGCATGCTGAGGAGCCAATCAAAGGACTTCAACAGGTTATCATTCACTTTAGCTCTGTACAAATAAATATTCGGGCGGTCAGGACTCACTATGATTTCATAGTGGTCAGTTCTCAAACTCCATGATGTAACTATTTCCTCTTTTGTTTTCTGTGCAGCCGTTGCAGTAAGTGCAAGTATTGGTGTGCAATCAGGAATTAGTGATCTTAACTCTCCAAGACGACCAAACCATTCACGAAAAGCTATCACCTTTTCCTTAGAGTTACCAAATCCCCTGAAGAATAAAAGCAAAGTCAATAATATACATATACATAGAAAATTCAATTTGCTTATTTTTTATTGACCTTTAAATTCATTTATTCAAACTTAATTGAGGCATCCTGCATGTTCATCAATGTTGTATTTTGAAAATACCCATCATAAAATATTAATTTATATGGCACTTTCAAAAGTGGAGAATGGCACACCAAAGAAAGGGCTTGCTCAAATGGTTCTAATCCACACCATATGGGTCATAATAGCAACATTTTGACAATATTGATCAGCTTCCATGGGGTCAGTCTGATTTTGACTGATGCATTAACCTATTAGCTGGCAATGTTCCCACTTATCTTTAATCTATAGTGGATCAGGAATACAATATTTTTGGAACATGTAGAATGTCAGGTGTGAACATAGATCCATCCTTGAAATAATGTTTGCAAACATGCAAGCTGAAATCCTGATGTTGAAGCCGGGTTAAGAAATAGTAGCAATTCATTGGCAATCCATTGTATTCTTTTATGACAGACGAAGCATTTTATACACCAATGACCACTGACAATGGGAATTACCAATAATTGTGACTAGTTTAAAGGGCCAATTACGTAATGCATTTTCAACCTGGGGGTTGAATTCAGCCCATGTTGAATAAAATTCAACAAATTGACAAATTCAGCACCAGGGTTAATGCATGTGCTAGAGTATCAGGTAACATATGGAAAAAACAAAGGGAAATATATGAACAAAATGTAAAAATTCCTCAAAAAATTCCTTGTAAAAATTCCTTGCATCCATGGGATACAATGATCACATGACAACTTTTCAGCCATGGGTTCGAGTTCAACCCAGGGCTGAGATTTCATCTTGGGTAGCTAAGACGATTAATGACAATTTTCGAATAATCTTTAAAATTCATCTATATACAACTTCAACAGTAATAACATGAATTTATATGATGTCCATATATGTTGTCATATATGTGATTGTATACTGTATGTAGTGTAATTTTTATTATTTTATTAAGTAAGTAGGCAAATATAAATAATAATAACAATATTTTTATTATTTTAAGAAAATTAAAGTCATTTTGAATTTAGCCTCATTTGCAATCTTATTTTAATAATAAAAGATAATAATAAAGTTGAATACACATATTTGCCATCCCTGGATTTCACTGATTTATAGCAATATTTAAATATCAATAGATCAACTTACCATTTTGGAATGACATGTGCCTCGTCTGTAACTACTGCCAGGGCCGTTGCGAAGGGATATGGATTGGGGGGGTCTCGAAGGTCAAATTGCCAAGTGACGCTAGTTGAATTTGCCGAGTTTTTCAAAAGTTTGTAAAGGTTAGATATAGGTAATGAGAATCATATTGGTGTGCTAGTGACTGAGGGACACCAATATGGCTCTTGTTTTGAAATGGATGCCTGTTCGTGGGTTGTTGCTTTATATTAAACATATAAAGCTGAAAAAAAATTTAAATTTAACATAATTTCACAAGTCCTAAATCGAGACTGAAACTATGTGCACACGGGTCACGTTTTTGAGCGTTTTTGCAGTGCCGTTTTCAAATTAGCGTTTAGGCTCCTTGTTCACATTGATCGTTTTTCTCGCCACATTTTCTGACAAAGCACTAGTTTTTTATAGTCTTCGTTTTCAAATTCAAACACGGAATTTCATTTTCGCCTTCTACTTTTCTGTTTACACAATAACAAAGTGCCAAAACGACCAAACGTTTCAGACATAGAGAACGAATGTTTGGCATCGATTTCACTATTTGAAACGTTTTTGCTTCCTGACGTCGTTTTCATACGTTTTCGTGTGAACAGAACGTACGTGAAAATGGTACTTTCAGTTTCAGAAATTAACGCATTAATTACAACCAAAACCCGAAAAACGCTCGGAAACGGTACCGTGTGCATATAGTCTGAGTAACGAGTGTATTAGACTGTGGTGCAGACGCACATCTCCGCAAAGTCAGAAAAGTTAACCAAGTATTACCCTGGTTCCAGAGGTTTATTCTTATTATTTTCATTGCGAAGGGGAGAGGAAAAATAAACCTCTGGTTGAAAGCGGCAATTGATTCATTGAGCCGCGCCAATCAGTTTGAATTAGGGTCAGATCCTGACTCTGTCTTTTGATTGGATGATCGTATTAAAGCTCTCTGATTGGTTATAGATGTTCTATTTGAATCAATCAGAGAACTTTAATACAATCATCCAGTCAGGAGACCTAATTCAAACTGATTGGCGCAGCTCAATGAATCAATTGCCGCTTTCAACCAGAGGTTTATTTTTCCTCTCCCCTTCGCAATGAAAATAATAAGAATAAACCTCTGGAACCAGGGTATCCAAGTATCTGCATGTGATTGCATTGATATTTTGTTTCAATATTTTCATGGCAATTTGATGAATTTGACCTTTTTTATCCCCAGGCGCCGAATAGACAATTTATAATATTTTTAGTATTTTGAGCAGTCTTAAAACTCTTAGTGCCGGATAGTGTTAACTGGGCTTTTGTACGACCCGATTTTCCAAGAGTTTAAATTGTATGCGTCAGAAAGCGAGTAAAACGGATATGATCATATGCAACCGATCGATGATACCGATCGCTGTATGCGGTATGTCTTTCAAAACTGTAGGTTGATCAGAGTTAACAGTAATTTCACTAAAGAACTAAAGAAGACAAGTCCGTTCTTATCAGTGGCATGGCTCGTAGTCTTCTTGAGGATCTTGCGCCTCTGATCTTTGGCTTTGACTGCGCTTTGCAGTCTCGAACGAATTAGCTGGTACATCTTTATGTGCTACTCGCACTCGGTTTCCCTTATGGCAAATTTGCTCGTGCCTCTTACGGTAATCGTCGGGCCGTATGTTAGATAACCTTTATGGTTAATACGTTTTCCCTCGTGAAATAAATAATAAAGTTTGATATAGTCGTCAAAAATCGAATTACATTCAAGACACTAAAGTTTTATTCTTTTTCTTTTGGGTTTTGAACCGCACATAATTGATAACGAGCCTTCGCTATAAGAGCAGTCGAGCGAAGAACATGCCGGAAACGTGGGTTTCACATTTCAGCCTCCCGTCGATTTTCGACAAATAAAAGACTAATACTATTACTAGAAAATAGAAATACATTTAAATGGTATAAGGCCACACAAACCATTATTTTAAATCCGGAATTTATCGCTTTATTTATCGCCATCGTTCTTAACTTTTACAATTTACTGAATGCCAAATTCGTAATTTGCCGAACAGTAACGAAGCAATTTGCCGACTGGAGCCGACTTGCGAAAATTATTGGGGGAGCACCCCCGCTCGCGACGGCCCTCTTTTCTTGGATGTTCTTGACAAGCCTGCTCCTGTAAGAGAAAAGAGTGTGAAAAACAAACCGAATGTGCCTTGTCTAACAAGTGTTATTTTCCGCTGGCTGAGGCACGAAAGAAGCGGAAAATGTTTTCTCACACATTGCTGGGAGCCTGATGAAATCAGGGTATCACAGGGTGGTGCAGGTTATATTAGCATATTTTTGTTGTTGTTCAGCGTAGCTTGACAGTATTTTTTCGCTCGCGATTTATTTTAATTTAAAAAGGCTAGTTAACCTATCTTTTCACGGAGGCCAATGGAAAAACGTAAAAATGGAAAGGTCGTTGAGGGCCTTAAAACTGTTCGTGGCACCTTCGATTAGTACAAATAACGAAGAAATTCTTAGCGGCAATGTGGACCATTTCTCAACAGAAGACAGCTCAGCTGATAAAAATGTTGGTAGTTCTCGTCGCAGTGTATGTGAAAGTGAGGATCGCCGACGACCAAAAGTTATTCGCTTAGATCTAAATTTAGTGCAGTGGTCGTGAGAGGGGAGATCGAATCCGTAGTTCTCTGCAAAGCGGTAGTAGGAATTCGCACGAAGAGTGCCGAAGCTGTTCGCGTCCTCGAGCAAGAAGCAGTATCGTACTACCCGAAGGAAACGATCACACCGGTCGCATTCGACGTCCCGGCAAGGAGCCACCAGCGTAGGCAAAAGAACTGCTTTTTCATTAACGACAAAACGCGGACGTGTTGAAAAGTTGAAATCGCAGGTTACGAAAAACTCAAGCGAAGGTTCTTCGACAGCAGCAAAGGTCGTCAAGCTAGCACGAGTTTCGCTACGCCGGAAATAAAAAGCAATACGATGTCAATCAATCGGTCATTCAGAGAATGGATTGCGCGCTTGCCTCGTATGATCTTGAAGGAGTACCGATAGAAATCAGCGCAGGTAGAAGCTTACTTATGGATCACATCTTTTACTTGCTGATAAATACGGAGGTGACACTGTAGAATGTTATTCAGCTGAGCCCTTAGCTAGTGATTCTAAAAATGAAAAACGGATAAGGAGGGCGATAAAAGAGGGCGATAAAAGTGAGCATGTCGTTGCGGAATGAGGATAATGACCGGTCCCTAATGCAGTTTCAGACCTCTAGCAATTCTTATATAAAATTATCAATTCTGATGTGGAATACTAATGACATGATTCTCCCACACAAGCAGGGGGCGTGGGTCTGTATATTCACAATAGCTTAGAATTTCACTTAAGACAAGATATTAAGTTACTGGTTGATGGTTGTGAGAATTTATGGGTTGAAATTCATACACCTAAAATGAGAAAAATATTATTATAGGCATAATATATAGACACCCACACTCTAATATTTCTGCATTTAAAGATACTTTGTCAGATAAATTGGAGCATAGTTTGAATGAAAATAAGCAATTAATCATTATTGGGGATATAAATATTGATCTCATAAAATGTGAAACACACCAACTTACTTCTGATTACCTTGATATGATATACTCTAACTCTTGTTTTCCTGTTATTACACAGCCTACTAGAGTCACAAACTACACTGAAACTCTAATTGACCATATTTATACCAATGTTTTAAACAAACCTATTACATCCGGAATCTGCATGACTGAAATTTCCGATCATTTTCCTGTTTTTCTAGTCTTGCATAAAATAAAGACGGCAACAAAACGGAATATGAAGAAAAGAAACTTCAAAAACTTCAATAATGATATTTTTTACAAGACCTAGAAACATCTATCAGTGACACTAACCATAATAGAAATGTTAACAATACATTTTCCAATTTCTTTTCCATATTTACATCAACAGTAAATAAACATGCACCTATACAAAATGTCTCTAGGAAAGAATTTAAACTTTCTGCGAAACCTTGGATTACTCCTGCGATATTAAAATCAATAACAAGAAAACAATATCTTTATTATCATCATTTTATCAAAGGCAATGAAGATCAAAAAAGGTACTACAAATCATACTCTAATACTTTAACTCATTTGAAAGAATTGAGTAAAAAGTTATATTTTAAAAATAAAACAACAAAAATTCAAGGTAATATAAAAGAAACATGGAAAATTATTAACCGAATAGTTAAAATAAGGTCTAAAGGTTTATTACTCCAGACAAGATAAATAATAATGGCGTTGAATTTGATCAACCGCAGGATATTGCCAATCAATTCAACATCTTATTCAGAGATATTGGTCCTCAACTTGCAGAAAAAAATATCTCCTTCCAATAAAGACTTTCGAGATTATCTTACTCCTTTGAATACTCACGAAAGTTTCTTTCTTACACCTACAACTCCTAATGAAGTGGCTTCTATGATAAATGAGCTCGATGCCTCAAAGGCTTTGGGCCCTCATGGAATTCCTATTTGTTTACTGAAACTTGCAAAACCAGTTATTGCATCAGAACTAAAGTGAATTATATAATTTTTCATTTACTTCTGGTATATTTCCTGAAGAATTCAAGCTCTCGCGAGTAATTCCTCTTTATAAAAATGAATCGATTCACTTGTTATCAAATTACAGACCTATTTCTTTACTCTCACCATTCTCAAAAATGTTTGAAAAATTAATGTGCAAACGACTATTATCATATTTGAATAAAAAGGACATTATAAACAAATACCAATTTGGATTTCGGAAAAATCATTCAACAACGTTGGCATTAATTGAAATTATTGACAATATTCTTAATGCCATGGATAAGGGGCTTTATACTTGTGGAATATTTATTGATTTTTCAAAGGCATTTGATACTATCAACCACACGATTCTCCTCTCCAAGTTGGAGCACTATGGTATTCGTGGCGTTGCGTTACATTTGTTTAGAACCTATCTAACGGATCGCTCACAATTTGTAGACCTTAATGGGACACTCTCAAACACTATTAAAACAAACTGTGGTGTTCCACAGGGTTCAAATTTAGGCCCACTATTATTTCTTATTTATATTAATGACATTTCGAATTGTAGCAATGTTTTAAAATTGCGGTTGTTCGCAGACGACACTAATTCTTTTTTGGAAAATAGTAATATACTAACTTTAACCACAATGGTTAATGTTGAATTAAAAAAACTTACCAATTGGATTAAAGCAAATAAATTATCGCTAAATATAAAAAAATCGAAATTTATGATATTTTCATCCGTTAGAAAACAATTTCACTATATTCCAAATATCAAGTTAGATGGCTCTTCACTAGAGCAGTCAGAATTTTTTAAATATCTGGATGTCCTTCTTGACAGAAACTTGAGTTGGAAATTTCATATAAACGTTATATGTAAGAAACTTTCCAAGAATATTGGCATGATTTCAAAATTACGTCACTATGTTGATCTTGACACACTAAAAAATGTTTATTACTCCCTAATATATCCTTACCTTTATAATGGGGCAATTATCTGGGGAAATACGTACCAGTCTCGTCTTAATCAGTTAAACATTTTAAACAACAAAGCTGTCAGGATCATGACTTTTTCCGAACCTCAATCCCATGCTCCACCTATCTACAAATTACTAGGTATTCTTCAAGTAAAAGACATTGTTTACACCCAAAAATGTACTTTTATGTACGATTACTTTAATAATAGGTCACCAGTAGCATTTTCTAATTATTTTACACACTCTTCAGAAATACATCAACATTATACTCGATATTCAACCAATAATTGTCATTTGCCATCTGTTTCTAGTAACTCAGGAAAATTCTCATTAAAAATTTCTGGAATAAAAATCTGGAGTTCTCTTGATAATCAAGGCAAATTACTACCTAGGAAATCTCTAATAAAAAGAATTAAAAAGAATTACCTTGATACCTATTCCTAATATCAAATGTTTACTATATACTGTCTTATATCTATATACTATAATCAAATCAAACCTATTGTGTGTGATACAAATTGTTAATGTACAGTATGTGTGTATATATGTATTTATTATATTTCTATATATATTTCTATATATATTTCTAAATTTATTTTTCTTTTGTATTATTATTTGCCATATTTAATTCATTGTTGTATATAGTTCTTATGGGGAATTGGCTCGAAAACTTTAGTTACTCCAATTCCCCAGCACCGTTCTCTTTCATGTAAAACTTTATTGTAATATTCTTGTCATTTTTTTTTCGAGTGCAAATAAAATTCTATTCTATTCTATTCTATTCTATTCTATATTTCTATTCTATTCTATTCTATTCTATTCTATTCTATTCTATTCTATTCTATTCTATAATGAAGTTGGGTTTGGGATATCTGAAAAAATACCAATCACTTAAAAATATCTAACTAACTTTAAAACGAATTTGTATCCAGTGCAGCTTATTCGTCGAAAGTTCATTTCACCAATTTCCACACAAGTATAAATATTTGTTTTGCAGCAGCTGTTCAATGCTGTGTGCAGGGCCGTAACTACTGAAAGCATTTCGAAAGTGGAGAGTATTTTCCAATAGGGGCACTTTTGTATATGACCAAAATCAAACGATTTTCTGAACTGAATGACATGTTTTGAAAATATGGAGTCTCTATAACGTCTCTTTTAACACGGAAATGCAGTGAAAAAAGGCAACGTGAACGTTACTAGGTCCATTTGCAGAGAAATATTTATATAGTCCCAGTTGCATTTGCCTCTTTTCAAACGTCAGAACGTCACTTGTTATCGTCAGTGGCGTAACCAGCCCGACGATTTGGTCATTTGATCATTATTCATTTGTTTAGAAATTGATTGTGTTGATAGTTTAAAAACATGTGAATATTTGCATAGCGGGACTGAATCGTAAATTTAAAAAGGTAACGATCACTCACACACATTTCGTTACTTTTTTTATTTGCAGGCGTTTTCCGTATTTGCAGACGCGAGAAAAGAAGACATTTTAAAACGAACAAAATTACTTAGCTTTTACAAGAATTTTGAAGATATTTTAAAGAATTGTGACGAGAAATTGCAAGAAAGTTTGAGCAGAAAGATAGACATCGTGAAAGAAGTTGAACAAAAAAGGAAAAACCTGGAAGTTGAAGAATATGTAGTTCTTGTTGCTGGTAAGTTAATCCCTATTATTAAAATAACAAACAGGGCCGCCAAGAAGTTGCACCAGGCCCGGGGCAAACTTTTCTGCAGGGCTCTGGACATATTTTTTCTCGATCATAAACATTTCCCGGAAATGTTGGGGAGGGGAGGGGGTGGAGGATCACGATGTTTCCAATCTTCAAATATTTCCTTTTTTTTAAGTTCGCCTTATTCTATTCTTAATTCAGTACAATTTTACTTGATTTATTGAACATAAACTGGCATGAATGCAGCTATTGGCCTCAACGTCGCTATGGAAACTTTTATGCAAAACAAATTTATTGTATAAGTTTATTTACCTAGGTGAGACAAGTTCAGGAAAAAGCAGTTTGATAAACCTCATCCTAGGAGAAAATATTCTGCCATGTGGTACCCTACCTATGACACATACTATCTGTGAAATGCGATATGGGGAGACAAGGAAGGTAATAGCTCATTACAGAGATCAGCAAAGACAACAAGAAGAGCTAATCCTACTTGATCCAACAGAAGGTCAGAGTTATATCCAACAACTTCATGATTACTTGGCCCAGGATAAGAATCGTGACGAAGGATCCCGTTTCGAAAAATGTGAATTATTCTGGCCTCATGATTTGCTAAAGGTGAGAGATTAGTTCAATAAATTTCGCGTGCGTTTATAGTGTTATAATGCGCGTGGAGAATGTATAGGAAGAACAGTTCTTGAAATTATTGCTGCACGAGCTTTGATCCACATTTCTAGAAATTATCATTAATTTTTTCGTGTTTTGCTGAAGAAACGCCAAACAGTTTTTAAGCATTTGAGCTACTTCAGTAGTGAAAATTGCGTAGGTTTTGTAACTTTATGAAATCTTTCTCAGCCGACAGACAGGTGTAATTCATACTGAAAAAACGCCTGCGAAAATGTCCTTGCTTGCTTTTATTGCTGCTTTTCTGCAAAATAGCGATGATAGCAAATAGATATGATTCCAGGTATCGACTAATTTTTATCTAGACAAGAAAGACGAAATGTATCATTATAGCTTAAAAGAACATCCTTGAATTAGTAAAACTGCAAAGTTTGGTTGCGAAATGTTGTAAAATACAGTCCTGTAAAATTAGAAAATTTTGGGTATTTAATTAGTATTACGGCCGAAAAGGTACCACTTTCGGCTCAAAAGTGGTGCATTTTTCCGCTCGTAGTACTACATACAACATTTAGCAACCAAATGTGGTAATTTTACTAATTTAAGGATGTTTTTTTAACCTATAATGATAGATTTTTTCCTTTTTGTCTGGATCAAAATTTAGTCTATATGTAGCTGGAATCATCCATTCGATGATCGAAAACAAAAAATGTTAACACTATAGTCTTCAATTTTCTCATCTGTTTATTTATTTTTTCTTTTCTTTATTCTTTTAGAATGGAATAGTAATTGTTGACAGTCCAGGAATTGGCGAACGCCATGTGTTAAATAGAGTAGTGACAGATTACCTTCTTAAGGCGTTTTGTTTTCTTTACGTCATAAACAGTGACAATGGCGGGGGAGTTCAAAGAGATCGGGTAAGTTATTTGAAGATGATTATTATAAGAGTGGTTAGATGGAATGTGCGAAGGTTTTTAATTGGTAAGTCAACAACAGACGTCTTCACGACCCGCGTGTGGAATCTTTGATCCTATATTTGTATATACTCACACCAAAAGCAATGATTAAGCATATGGATCAATTAATTAATGCTAAAATGTTAGCAGTTGGCCACTTAATTTTTGGTACTTTGCTGTTTTGCTTCTCTAATTTTTACATGCTTGTTAAATTGAAAAGATTGGGTTTTGATAGTTCCTTAAGAATTCCGTATATGGAATTCTTAGAGTTTATGAAATCAATTTAATATTTTAATTTCTAAAACAATATAAGTTATATAACGATGCTAAAGTGTATGTCCCACGCGAGAGTATCTGAATTTAGAGAATGATATTAATTTAATGAGAAAAAGTGAAGATAGAGATAATTATCTATAATGGGATTTTTATATGGAGGTACAATCCTGGACAAAACCATCTGCAACACTCTATTAAAACATTCCATTCTTGGATTTTTTTTACCTTAAGACGGGAATAATTCACTCGTTTGCTCCACCTTCCTCCGCCTCCCCTAAAGCAATACGGGACGTTTTAACCGTATTCTGCGAATGCAATATATGAACATTGAATGGTGGGGGTAATTGGAAGGTTTTATAAATTTGAGATAATATTACGAAATGTTGTCAAATAATTGGAAGTGTTGCAGATTTTTTGTCCAGGATTGTAGGTCAGTTTTCCCGAGGGGAATTCTGGCCCAAATTTAGCAAGATCTCGGGCTAAAGGGCCGCGCTCTCGGTTTGATGGGCCTGCACTTTACCTATATATACAGAATAAGAAAGGCAGTATCTCACCACAACTGGGCCAGCTTGGGTAACACAGGGCATATAAAAACATTTTATGTGCAAATGAACAAAATGACCCGTTGGGGGCGGGTTGATGGTGGGTGTTTCTGTCAACATTTTGGAAAGCAATATTATTAGAAAAATTAGAATAATTATACATATTAAACTCTGCCTGTAGTATATATTTATGGTTATTTTAATTTTGACCCCACCTCTGCATGCAAGGATCTTTTGGCTGCCCCACCTAAAACAGGTATTATTTTTCAGTTACCCCACCATTATCTCTTTGGGCCCCATCTTGGCCATAAAAAATTGAGCGATTTCTTAAATGTTTCTGGTAATTTCTTTAAAGTAAAATTTAAAACCCTCTTTACAGCTGATTGTATGAAACGATTCTCCCATATGTTTCAACTGAAATGTTGGCAGTTGCCTCATTCCACTCCTGGAGTTCTCGAAATTTTGTTATTCAGCGAGATGGCCACCCACCATCACACTTTTCAAATCGCTCACAGCTTTCTTTTTCCTGGGTGTAAATGCACTCGGGACGGCGCTTGGTGCCGTTGCCTCGGAGAAAGAAACGTTAAGCGAGAGCTCTAAACACTAAACCTTTTGGAAGGTTCCTCGGCAGCCACAGAATATAAACTGGCAGTCTAGATTTCTCCTCCCCATCTTAATAATTTTAACAGCCAGCCCAACATATCCAAGAAAGCTTATACTACTGCAGTCGAAACTATGATTGACAAACGTGTTGTTTTTCTAATAATAGATTCTTCATTGTAGGTAATAAGCCTTCTACAGTGCGTTAGGAACCAATCCCTTGAAAGCTTTCTTTGTGAATGTGCGGTGTTCGTTTGCAATAAGTGGGATCAAATAGAGATTAAGGGGACTGATGCTGAATCCCGTGTCAGGAAATATATAACTGAACGTCTGGAGAACACATGGCCGAATTTGAAGCCGCAGTCACAAGTTGTTGAACTGTCCACTAAAAATGCCGCTGAATCTCAAAACTATGGCATCATTTCCCAACAGTTCGTTGCAGTTATGAACGCCGTAAGAACAATGATGCTGAAAACAATTGGCGCAAGACTTAAAGCTGAGTGCAGGTACAGTACTGCCAAGAAATAACTTATCAAAAACCGCGTCCAAGACGCGGGTATCTTGCGTCCACTGTGCGTCCACGGGCGCCCGCGGGTGCGTCCGTCCTGCGACCGCCGTGCGTCCGTCGTGCGTCCACTGTGCGTCTGCGGGCGCTTGCGGGTGCGTCCACTGTGCGGGCCCCATGCGTTCGCTTTGCGTTTGCGGGCGAGGACGCAGCTGAGAAAGAGTTCTATTCGTAGATCGTCGGAAATTATCGCGTTTCGATTTTCATAAACAAACCGTGGGCGTCGGAAAATATTCATGTTAGCGATTTCACACCACGTTTTTATGCTTATATACACAAGCGTTACAGACCTAGAATCCTAGATATTTATATTTCTAATATTAAACTTACCGTGAATTTTCAGAATTTGTGCTTCGTAAAGTTCCTTTTCGTATTTGATCTCTACTTTCGCACCTTCGTATAACGTTTGGTTTAAACCCAGTATTCTTTTAATGCACCTATGGTTTTATATATTCTTCGAAGAAATCCAACATACGTTTTGCCGGTTTGACGAATAAGCGATCGATACCTCATTTTATTAGTCTGATAGTAATACAAATCGAGTGATATTTGTCTGAGCTCTTCACTTCAGCGTTAACGAATTATACTGCAACTTTGAAAATCAAGCGATGAGTCACAGTCCTTGAACCGTGTTGAAACACAAAGACTGTTTCCTGGACATGTAAAGGTATTCCATTAAGGGATTAAGAGAAGTCATTTATCCAGAAATTATATGGTAATTATCAATTTATATGACATATCACCATGTGCATTTACTTTGTTTTGGAAAAACAACAAAAACTGCTGTAAATAAGGTTATATGGTGGCTCGTAGTAATCACGGTATTTTAAATGACGAGTTACCATGGGCGTACCGGAAGGAAAAAATTAGGGGGGCGGAAAGAAAATTGCCCGACTTTTCGGGATTCTGCCCGACTAGTACCAAAAAATTTTTTCCGGAAAAATTATTTTGGCGACCTTCCCCCCCCCCCGTCGCCAAAAATATTTCGGTCAGTGTACCATTTTAGGGGTCAAAAAATTTTCCGGACAACCAATATTTTTCGGAACATAACACAAATTTTCGAAAAATCGCAAAATTTGCCAAAAACTTTACTTCATTTTAGACAAAATTTGCAGAATTTGTCCCATTTTTTTATTGCAAACCAAAATTGCCCGACTGTTGATCGAATATTGCCCGACTGCCCAAAAAACTGGGGGGCTACCGCCCCCCCCCCCCGCCCGGTACGCCTATGCGAGTTACGGTATTATTTGTATTATTCAAATACAGAATTGCATATCAACTAATCGGCAATCATCTACGAGGTAAGTCAGAATTTGAGTAGCAAATGAATGTGTTGGGTGATATATACTCGTTGTAGTCGTGATCTCACTGAGTTTAGTATATGTGTCTACATTATATTTATATATAGTTTATGTTTATTTTACGCTCCAATATACAGTCATATACGCTTCAATCGCCACTCAAGTACGCGTGATTGCATTGTGAATAAAGCACTACGCTTACTGTAGTATAACGTATAACATTATAAAATGGTTATACTAAATGTAACGCTTAGGTTCAATGAAACTCGTTTTCGGATTCAACTTTTTATTCTTTGCTTCTCCTATCAGTGACACTGATCTGTATTCTCACGACAAACTACGAGTATGATGCAAATATTAGTTCGTTTTTCCGATTATGTTACGACGACTGCGTCCAAGCGGACGCAGTTTTTAACTAGAGGCTGGACGCGGGCGCTTTGGAGGCAGGACGCGGGCAGAGCAGACGCAAGACGCGGGCGTCGTGGAGGCCGGACGCGGGCGTTCTGGAGGCAGGACGCGGGCAGAGTGGACGGAAGACGCGGGCGCTCTGGAGGCAGGACGCGGGCAGACGCGGGGACAAGTTATTTCTTGGCAGTACTGTATATAACTTATAATATAATATTTTAACTATTATGACGTATTGCTTAGTTAATTTGACCAGAACGGTCTGGTTAAAATAACCAGACTATTGTAAGTTTAACACAGAACGTTGCTCGCCACACATGGCGTTCGGATCATCAACCAGCACAATTGTCGTCCACCTAAACATTTCTGCAGTCTTCCTCCCTCAATAGTACGGTGTTCCGCTACCCAGCTTTGTCACCGGCTACTACTTGACTTCCCATGTTATTCCATAGACATGAATGCTGAAGACTTTTTTCAATCTTTGTATGATACCGGGAGTTGAGTAATCTGTTGCCACGTCAATACAAACAGTTGTGACGTAGAGACATGAAAACAAGACAATCCAGTATTTGTCAGTCTTGTTTCGGCCAACTTTGACTGTGATAGGGCCAACGTGGTCCACGGTCACGTAAGTGAATGGTACTGTGAATGTTGCCATCACTTGTTCCCCGTTTTCCTCTGCCATCTGCCGACAGAAGACACACTTGGACCTCAAGCTCTTTGCGATGTAATGTGATGTGATGTGATGTGATGTGATGTGAATGTGATGTGATGTTATCATTAATTTTTTGTGTTTTGCTGAAGATACGCCAAACAGTTTTTAAGCATTTGAGCTACTTCAATAGTGAAAATTGCGTAGGTTTTGTAACTTTTTGAAATCTTTCTCAGCCGACAGACAGGTGTAATTCATACTTTGCGATGTAATGTGATGTGATGTGATGTGATGTGATGTGAATGTGATGTGATGTAATTTATTATAAGACAGTGTTATATAGAGTTTTTAGCCACTGAGAAACACACGTAAAAAATACGATATTTTTACGTGTGAAAATATCATTTGTTGTAAAACGCATTGCCACGGACGTTTTATTGTTTTTCACTGAATTTTGTTTATATAATAAACAGAAAAATACACGGGTGCTTGAAAATACCAGATTTATTTCTCGTGTTGAACATGATACAGTAGAGAGGTTAAGATACCCCGATTCCGATTTACGGGTACGGGTGATATACACGTACCCGTACCTGTAAATCGGGGAATAGCTTGTAACTTAAGAAATCCAAAATACTCCGGCGTGAGAAAACCAATAAGAGAATGGCAACTTTTGCTGTTGAGGTTCGCCATAAATTGTTAAAAGCTTTGACCAGTATATGTGCATTATTTATTTGGGTAAAATGTTAACTATTTGTACTATTTAAACGGCCCAAATATAGTAAACAGGAAACACCCGTACCCGTTTGTCGTTTACGTGAAGACCACGGTTTACCGCGGGGAAACGGGTAGAAATTACGGGTAAAATTGCTGACATCAGCAAAAATTGGTAAACAAAATGGCGATACTCGCACCCGTAAACCGGGGTATCTTAACTTCTCTAGTATCTCACTCGTTCGCTGCGCTCACTCGTGAGATATCATGTTCAACACGCGAAATAAATCTGGCATTTCCGGGCACCATGCATTATTCTCTATGTAATGTAATAGAAATTTACACATTAAATAACTAAGCTAAATTACAATGTGCTACAAATACAGTTTATACTGTTTTTAAAAATTGATTAAGAATGAAATAAGAACTATTTATTATATTATCTTATACCATAAAAAACCCATGCAAGATTGGCAAGATTTTCGAAACTAAGAGTTAGCTAAGCTAGGAGTTATGAAGAGTTAAATTGTCCTTATTTATTGCATAAATGATAGGACTCTGACTAAATCGTTTAGTTCTGCACGTATAATTACAGATGTGCATCAATAAAACTCGCCGATAAAATATTGCGAAACGCTTCGAAAGCAGCGGCTACACATATTTATGTTTATTTAGTCTTCCTAAATTATATAATCCTTTCCCTCGCTTCTCCTTGAAGAATTAGAACAACTTAATGTAAACTATAATTAAAAGTACTTTCTCCGAACTCGTGAGTTGATCTGCCCTGGAACCAAACCGTTAAAATTTGAATTTTTCAAACTTCGTAACCGCACCTCAACTCATTTCTCCTCAACCCTCCTGATTTATTAACTGCACATTAATAGAACAATTGAACGAGATATGTTTGGAAATTAAATTAAAGAAAACAAGCAAGATTTCGACATAACTTAGTCAATACTAAAACGCGCAGTTTCCTAAACGGGAGGATCAGAAATATGTAATAGATGTTTTATTCGGTATGTAATATGTAATATATGTTTTATATATATATATATATATATATATATATATATATATATATATATATATATATATATATATATATATATATATATATATATATACACACTAACGTGCAATAGCATTTTGTTTAGTGGTCAGGGAAGCAATAGCCTACGCGGCAATGGAATTTTTTTTTCCGTAGACAGTCGGACTCCTCATTGATAGTCGGACGCATCATTGATCCGCGTCTAGGCCTCTGCGCATTATCGATGCATCTCTTCGTACCCTGCGTAACCCACTGGTGCACCATTATTATATCCATCACTGCACGTTGTTCGTCTTCGACCACGTGTAGAAAGATGAACGACTTGCTTCGCGATACCATAGTGAATCTACAAATTTTGTTTTTCTGGTTCCGAAAATACTCAAGAACTGCTATTGCGAGTTAAAACTATACATCATTCCAATTGAAGAGAATTAAGATAAGAAAACTAGCGTGAAATGAAATACACGAACAAATAGAAGTATTGCTGAATATCCGTCCACTATAGTATAACATATCGCGTAGCCCGGCCACATTTCACTGGATACGTATATACTCAGATCTTATTGCCTCGTTCTAATATACACAAACTAATTACTAAGACAATATTACGAATTGATACTATAAAGGAAATATTATGCAAGACTTTTAATGTTTAATATTATGCTTAGTATGCCTTATAATATAAAAATTTTCTCCCAGCGACGCTAATTAATCATAATCTGTCAAACACCAATGTCCGGTTGTGAGGAACATATTTACATATTACACTACATCTAAGCTCTCTGTAGCATGAGAATTTAATCTATTAAATTACTTGACTGCGTATATCCACGTATCCCCTAAAATATAGAAGCTACCTATAGCATGATAATTTGATCTAATGCTAATCTCACTGCATACCTCGTTCCCAAAATAGCTACTTGACAGCGTATCCGCGTATCCACTACAATATAGAGCTAGCTATCAATCTATTATTAATCTATTGAGAATAAATTTAGATGTTTTAATACATCGTATTCATGATGTTTGAAAGGCATAGCTTAAATAGTGGACGGATATTCTGCAATCGCTCCGGAAGATATTGCAATGTTTGTTCAGAATTATGGAATCGGAAACTTACAAACCGAGTTACAAAAGTAAAGAAAAGCAAGTGGGAATGGCGAATATAACCAAGGGAGCACGCCAGAAATATTTGTGTAAATTTTACTAACCTTTTAATTATATGTAAATGTTTTCAATTTTCATCGGGCGCCATTTTGAATGTTGAAAGTGGTATATATTATTAGCTTATCGCAGGCGCAATAATTTATGTTCATCTTTGACATTTATTTATGTTACACGATGATACTCCGAAGGGCGACCGAGAAAGATCCGAAATTTAAAATAAGGCGGAGATTGGCCAATGACAATGCGTATATCCAATTTCGTTATCTGGCCATGCTCGTTGACCAAGAACTGTCGAATCTGAAATATATCAAAACTTGTATTGATTTGCATCGTTGCTCGCCAGCAGTGAATTTTCGACAGCAGAGAAACAAAAACATTTGCGAATGCTGGACACAAAATACAGTATTAATAATTCATGAAGGAAATTCAAAAGAAATGAATGTTTAATCAATGTATGTAAATCGATCGGATATTAGATTTGTCAATTGTCCTCATTTACATAAACTTCAGCTTCGATTTTCTCGGCTTAGACAATGTTTATTTTTAAAATTACTTCGTCAATGACCTCATAGGATGGGTCGTCTTTTAAGCACGTTAAAACACGAGCGGCCGATGTTTATCTGATATACAAACTCTCGCCATTGTCCCCAATTTTAATAATATATTCTAATGTGACTCGCTTGAACTAATTATAGTAGATCGAATATAAATCAACGGTAAATCCGAAAATAATAAAAAAAAAATATTTTCTACAGTATATTATATTATATTTGTTGTCCTACATTATATTATATTAAAATACTCAGTGGTTCCCGTGATAGTATGTCTCATTTTGTTTCCGGTTTGTTCCTAGCAACATCAAATGTTCCTAGCAACAGTCAACCAGCATCAGTGGATAATAGTTCGGCCGTTTCACTCCCCTTTTTATCATTTCTCCGCCTTATTTTAAATTTCGGATCTTTCTCGGTCGCCCTTCGGAGTATCATCGTGTAACATAAATTAATGTCAAAGATGAACATAAATTATTGCGCCTGCGATAAGCTAATAATATATACCGCTTTCAACATTCAAAATGGCGCCCGATGAAAATTGAAAACATTTACATGTAATTAAAAGGTTATTAAAATTTACACAAATATTTCTGGCGTGCTCCCTTGATATAACTTAATAAAATATATTAGATGTCATCACCCTCGTATTTTGGCATCTCAACCAAGCAATACAATATTAAATATTTTGAAATCACCATGCAATTGCGTGCGCAAGACACACTGGGAAGACGCATCTAATAAGAAGAGCATCTGCTGAATATATTGTTACGGGCGCGGGTCAATGATGCGTCCGACTATCAATGAGGAGTCCGACTGTCTACGGAAAAAAAATTGCCGCGGCGATAGGCTGCGTTTCTACTCTACTGCAAGAAAAGATGATACAATATTTTTCTACAGAAATCCAATTATTACCCGCTGCTTTTATCTTGATTATTTTTAAGCATTTCTGAACTCTTTGGGACAAACTAACTTGCACGGAAATTATACCAATATTTTACTCAATATTTACTCTTTTTATAGATGGTTAGATACGATCCTTTCGCAGACAATATTTCACACAAAACTGGTTGTAGATAGTGCTATGAAAGATGACCTTGCACGAAAGCTTGCTCTAGCCATTGAGAAGTTAGCCAAGATTAAGCACGAGCACAACGAAAGTATGAAGAGTCTGGAGGATGAGTTTGAAATCAAGAAAAGGGATACAGTTGATAAATTGTCTGAATACGTTTCATCAGATGTTTTTAAAATCGATGTTACATCGTGGAGTGAAGACCAATGTCCACAACTGGAAAAGTCTTGGGAAGAAACAGAAAAGAAGATTGACGAAACTATCAAGCAAAGATTCATTGACGAGATAGAAAAGTGGGAGACAGAGAACAATATTATTGCAGGTGCTCGGAATTCACTGTTCGTTAAGTTGACAAGGCAAAAAAACCTCCTACACATGCGCATTCAGAACGTTGAAGATTACATTGTCCAAGATGCAGCTCCAGTCCAAAATACAGATGAAACCAGATCGTTATACAACTGGCAAAAAATATTAATCGGAGCATTAAGTCCAATATGGGCTCCTATGGCAATAGTGTTTGGTCTTTTTAGCCTACCTTTTCTAAGTGTCATTGCAATAAGGAACGCCGTTCAAGCAGCGGGAGATAAAGTGTCGTATAAGAAGAACAAGCCAAGCTACATGGCTAAAAAGGCCGAAGAATTTCTCCATTACTGCATCAATCAAATGATTTTCCATCCGTTTGTCTTACAACAACTGCAAGAAATAAACAAGGACATGGTAAACGCAAAGCATGAGATTACAGAAATAATTGCTGCCAACAAACTATATCTTTGGAAACTTATTGAAGAGAGTGCATTGATAGAGAAAGATGCAAAGATTTACGCCCAAGTATGTGTCAATTGCTCTAATATCAGAGGAGAATTGTCCGTTTTTGCCATTGAAGATGTTTGGCTTAGCGATATTAGCTTCAAAAACTTGGAATGGGATGCGAGGGCCTTAATTGATCGTGGAGCATTTGCTGATGTTTTCAAAGCAAGGATGATTACAGCTGATGAAGGATGGTTGAATGTGTCACTTAAAGTCTGCAATAAAGTACTCACCACTCAGAATGCTTCCATTCTGTTGGCAGAGGAACAAACGTTAAGGTATAGTTTATAATTTATGTTTATATTAAATAATTTTTAGCTTGTGTTTAATCTCATTGTGTGAGAACATAATTTCAACTTCAAATCTGAACCACAATATATTTCAATTGTACCTCAATGTACAAGACCAGTCATACTGTAGTTTACAATTTCGGCACCTAAATTTATGTACGATGGCCAGCTCCATTTCGCGTGCATGTGTATCTGCAGCTACTGCATCTCATCCAGTTGATGTGCCATGCTTTATATTAGGGACACTGGAAGATTTTTGAGGACAAGGTTTGTGGAGCATCAACGTGCTGTCATTGGCAACGATGTTAACAAAATTGTTGCCAAGCATTTTAATCCCCGAGGAAAGCCATTACAGCTAGGGTACTAATTCTGCTCCGGTATTTACTCTCGGGAAAAGGAGAGATAATTAAGGGATTTCATCATTTACTGTTGTGTTCCCGTAGTATTAATATGAATGTTTTTCCACATGTTTAGCACTATCTGTTTTCCTGACAAAAGCGGGCATTGATAGCATTTTTTACATTGACTTATAAATATTTCAGACCTGTTTCATATTTATGATGTAGTTTCCCCAATATTTCTTCCATTCGAATACGGGCGTAAGCCTAGGGCAAGAGTACTTTTCCGTTTTTTTAAGGCCATTTTCCACCTCAACCGTACTATAGCGAAACATACTGGTGATCGATCATGCGTAGATTGAAAAGAGTTTGATAAATTGACGTACTGTATTTCCAGGTGTATTCGTGTATACAAATGAAATATTCGTTGCATGTCAACTTTTTGGCGCACTACAGAAGTATTAACCGATCGACATTCGCTAAATTTTGAAATTCAAAATTGTTTTGATACGTTTCGGTACGGTACGCTTGAAGTGGAAAACGGCCATCACACCCGGGAAAGGAAAGTATTATCGAAGTATAAACTTCATCAATAATCGTGGAAGCATGGATATGGTTCACAGTTTACCGTGCGTAGTATGGGTGGATGGTCATCCTTAATGATCTCAAGATATAGCTGACATTTATTATTTCAAATTTGCATGATAACGACTGCATGACGACAGCGATTTAACAAACATTTCTTGCAAATTTTAAAAGCTTTTTCAGAAAAAAATAACCCGAAAAGCTTTCAGTCAATTTCTTGAAAAATGACGAATTTCTCGTTACAGAAGTATCTGCATTCTTGGCATTGATCTGCACGCACCGTTCTTTTTTAACAACCATCATTAGGTTAGGATTGCAAGATTTTGATCATGCTCACGGTGAATGGTTGCTTTACTAATTGTGAATTGCCAACACTATTTGTCGGCATGTGCTTTGATTTTCATCCTCCGTGACGAATCACGTTTGCGAATAATTTCCGAAAAAAAGTAGACATTGTTGGCCTGAAGAATCTAGTTGCGGACAGTGTGTTTTATTAATTAATAACAAACTGGTAGCTCTGCAAGTGGCCGTATGAGGTACAGTTCGATAGTTGCGTAGAAATACCTGCTACTCTTCTGCAGTATTTTTCTTCGCAGCTTAGAGCTACATTTTAAGGTCTTCACAAACCTAGCTTTCAGCTCGCCATTGGCCTTGTAAAATTGCAATGTTTAGTTCTACATTAATCAAGCAGTTGAGAAAATTTGACAAATTTTTCTCCATTGAATGGTGGCCCTTTGTATGCATTTGTAGCGGTTCTTTGGTGTAGATCGGTGTCACAGCTTGGCACGGTAAACGTACTTTAATCTCATTTCTCACCATTTTCATGGGAACCATACCTACTCCCCAAGCAGAGATTTGTTCTTACTATACCAAGGTGTCCATCGTAAATGTTGAGGGATAGTGGATGAGGACTGTCCAACGTGGGATGAACCAGCTTCTGGTGAGTGACCTTGAGAATCCGTGGAACATCGACTAACAGACTGAGAACTACTGTAAAGAATGGTTGGGTAGTCCATAGCGGAACCACAAGAATTCCTGTTGCCCAGTCTTGTATGATCTTCTGCACACATCTAGATACAAGACAAAATGAGGGGAACGCATAAAAGTAAAAACATGACCATGTGATCGAAAAGGTATCTATGAATTTACCCTTTGGATCTGGTTAACAAAAAACATAATCTTGGAGTTGGGCATTCAGCCTACTAGCAAGAAGATCTATGTCTGGTTGGCCAAATAACGAGACGATTCTTTGGAAAGTATGTAAAGCTAACATCAATTCCAAATTGAAAATTTAAATTTCGGGACAATTGGTCGGCATCTACATTGGCAGATCCGGCAATATGCGCTGCTGACAACCAAATTCCCTTGGCAATGGCCCAACTCCAAATTGTTTGAGCAATAGTATTACACCCTGCAGATCTACATCCTTCCATTTCATTAATGTATGTGACAGCAGTTGTGTTATCACACATAATCCGCACATGTATGCTACTTCTATCACGCAACAAAAAAGGGCTAATTGAATGGCCAATAATTCCAAACAATTTATATGTTTTTCAGTTTCATCATGTGACCAAATGCCACATGTTGTGCTGCCATTCTCAAGTTTGGCTCCCCATCCTGTTCCAGATGCATCAGTGTAAATTGTGATATCTGGAGTGGTATGATAGATTTTTCTAATGGATAACTGAATGTTGTTTACCCACCAATGAATCTCCTCTAAACTGTCTGCAGACAAAGACATTTCTGCATCAAAATTACCTTGATCCATTCTTAAATAATAATCTTTGTCTGCCTCAATATGACGATAATGAAGAGGGCCAAACTCAACTCCAGGAAAATATGAAACTAGAGAACCAATCAAAGAAGCCATGCCACCTGGCGAATAGTAAACCATGTGTTTGGGCGCAAAACTTCTGACACAATCGCATAAGTTTTGCTTTTTTATTTGGTATAAGAGTAATTAACTGTCATAGTTACAGAATTCAAAAGAAACCCAAGGAATTCTATTATACATTGTGAGGGTAAGGTAACTGATTTATCAGGGTGGATCTTAAAACTCAAATTAATAATCAACTTGGCTGCATTAAGGGTAGCCTGGATACATTCCGCGTGAGACCCCTCTATATCAAAGGAGTCATCAATATAGCCAAAACAGGTGTGTCCAAACTGAGATCTAAGTGTTGCAAAAACTGGCTTCATGACCTTTGTAAAAACTCTAGGACTACTTGACAAACCCATTGGCAAACAAGTGAAACAATACAATTTATCCCGCCATATAAGTTTTAATATAAATATTTTTGATGCTCCAATGCTATAGGAATAGAATAATAAGCATCTTTGAGATCAATGGAGGTCATGAAGCAACCAGGTCTCATAAGTCTGATAGCAGTATCTAAAGTATCCATTTTAAAATGGTGATATGAAACAAATTGATTGAGTGTCTTTAAGTTGAAAATTACTCTACTAGTTTTTTGGGTGTACTAAATATAGGTGACACTTCACCAGATTCAGGAACGGAATGCCTAAATATTCCTTTTTGGAGAAACTTTTGAATTTCCCCATCTATGACAGTTTGCTCAGTTTCATTAAAAGTAAAATATGGTTTAGCATTACTAACATTTGATTCTGGTAAAGAATCAAATTCAAGATGACAATGAGTCACAGCATCCAAAATAAATGGATCTGATGTGATTTCTGTCCAAGCTTTCAAACCACCTGTCTTAAATGGTAGCTGATTAGCAATTATCGTAGCAATGGCATCATTACTTACCTCGGTTGGTGATCCTAATTTCCTTTGTTGACTGATGTCTTGGTGCTTGTCGGGGCCCGCCCGTGACCCCGGCCTACCCCGAAAAAAGGGGAGTATGACTTGTTCCGCGACCTCGACCGCTAGTCTGATTAAAACGACCTCGTCCACGTGCACCTCTGCCAAACAGCACCCTGTAAGGTTCTGTACGGTAATCCGAACGGGGCTTGGTGGACTGGTAACTTTGTTGCTAAGCTTATTGGACTTAGTAAGCTCCCCCACTTCTTTATTCAACTCATCACCAAAGAGATAAGTTGAAATGGCCGTTGATGGATTGCACAACGCACCATACTGCTTGTTAAGATCAGGACGAATCAAGTCCCTGCGTTTCATGTTGAACTCTCGATTTGCTGTTGACAATAAAACAGCTGCATTGGCAAGCTTAGATTTTTTATCCCCATCACAAACATTGCACACCTCTAAGACAGCACAAAGACCTGAAATCAATAGACCCTGTGTCTTTTGGAGAGCAGAATTTGTTTGTAAACCTTAGGTGCAACTAATTTGGGACAATTCTCTGGTCTGATATACTGTAATTGGACCTCAGACAATTTTTCTTTGGTCAGTCTATCCCTGAGCGCAGGCTATTAACAATTTCAGCCAACCCAGGATAAGAGCTGGCGAAGATTTTTCTAGGACAGAAAATTCCACTGCCAAATTCTGGAATGAGCCAGTAGCAGTTGGATCTTCCTGGTCAGGAATGTTCGGCTGAACCGAAAATTTTCAATTTTATCTGTAATTCCAGGCTCTGATGCCTCACCAGTGGAGGCAACTTCCTCATTCTCAATGGCAACAGACTCAAAATCTGTATAAATTTGATCAATATTATCTTTAACTTGTGATAAAATATCCTTCTTAGTTTCATCAAGTAACTCTTTAAACATAGATTTCAACTGGGAGGCTGAAGTCGAGGGGATAATCGCCCTGGTTTCGCTGGCTAGCACACTTTTATTTTCCATCACCTAAACGATATGGTGAGGAACTATTATTGTATAATAAATATAAAGAGCAAAGACACGTCTTATGCTCAAGTAATACAGGACACGTCCTGTAATCGTAAACCAGCGAATTTATAAGCACAAAACACGTTCTGTGCAGACCACGCGGCAGTGTGACACGCCACAAGCCAATGAATTCATCAAATTTGAAGTGCTTAAACTTAATAAAATGTGGTAAATCACGTCTACCACCGTTTCAACAAGAACCAAAAGCAATAAAAATCAATGAACTTACCTTATAAGATCAAGTAGAACCCTAATTTTATCGAAAATGTCTTCCAAACTCCTTCTCCAACGGCGTATAACAATGCACTGATCTACGGCGAAGCGTGCGCATCTCATGGTAACCCGGATGTACGTAGTGATTTAGTAGAAATACCAATGAAGAACATATAGTACACTGTATGGATGTTGACTTCTCTTGATAAATTCAACCCAGGGTGGTCCTAGGTGACAAAGCTGCTTTGAGACACTCAAACGATGACGGTTTCTCTTCTGTTTACTGTAATTTCATTGCTATGCATGTGAGCTGACAGAGATGGCTAATGTAGTGGTCATCCCGAAATGTTTGATCAACATTGAACAGAATTCGAATGCAGGAGAGCTGAGAAGATCCGGGAAGACTGCCATGGTGGCCGAGAACTGCCAATAGTCTTTCGTATTTTTAGTAGGAAATTTTTTGGAAATAAATATTTTTTAAAAACCATTTTAAAAACACAATCAAATTTAAATTGAAATTAAAACAAAAGTAAAACAAAAGTGAAAAGAAAGTTAAATAAAAAGAAAATGTAACTTTAAAGTAAAACAAATTTAAAACATAATATAAATCTTTTTTATCGCCCAAGCGCTGCCACTACCATGATTCTTTGCGAACCTAATAAACGTATTCTAATCGCCGAACCAACGGCGCGGAGCGCCGTTCCGGGCGTAAGCCCGAGGCGAGGGTACTAATTCGTCCGGCTATTTGCACTCGGAGAAACGAAAGCATTAGCGAAGGCTAAAGTTCATCAGCGATTGCGGGCGTGGGTCACTGTGCGTGTTGCGGTGGGTGGTCATCTCACTGATCTCAAAATATGGCTGTTTGCCAGGAGTGAAGAAGGCAAAAAATATAAAAAATACATGTACTGAAAACTTGGAAAATAGTTTCACATAACAAATTGTAAAACTTTTTTGCAATTTTTGAACGTAAACATTTATAAGAATTGATATAGTATGATAATTCCTAAAGTATAAGACAAGACATTAGTTTGTTTCAATTGTTTAAGTGTGACTTTGTACTATTAAATAAATAGACTTTATTCTTGTGTTCAAGTCTTTCCTATGCATTGTATGCGAAAGTTTCTTAGTTAAATTAACTTTTGTAGAAGCTCATGATAAAAAGTAAAGTAAATTATTTTAGTAAATATTAGCGTCTTGTGGGAATTAAATTTATTCCCTTTCAAAGTGCGAGTAAGAAGTTGAAGTTCGAGTTGAGGAGTTTATAAATATCGACAAAAAGCAGTTAATTTCAATTCACATTTAAAAACATTTTACGTAGAGTTTCGTTTTGAATTTTACATTCAAATAAAGCCCATAGAAACCAAAATAATATACCTACTTTATATATTTTAGAAATTGATAGTTCTGTATTTAAAAGTGTTCAAATTTCATCTATTTTTTTCAGGTTTGTACAAAAAATTAAAAAACAATTATCGTGTTGCCATGACTGTCATGACGTGCAACGCGAGCCTGCGTTCAGTGTTGGCGTAATTACGAATGCTTCATGTTGAAACAATGTTTGGAAAATATAGGCGAGGGGTTGTTGCATGCATGCATTTCTAGTATACTTCATGTCAGCTGTCATCTAGAACCAGGAACGCAAACTACACGATGATTGTCTGAAAACAACATTGCAAAAAGATGTTAAGCAAAGCCTTAAAGGTCTGAACTTTTAGATCTTATGGAATATGAATTCCTCAAAATTCTGCGAGCATTCGTACCCTCGACAGACTCTCACTCTGGGTTGGTCGGTTGTAGATACGGTTGTACCAGACTGCAGAGTTGGGCAGTTTTCGAGAGGATTTTGGGTGCAGAAAACAATATATGGCCTATATCAACCAAAAAAGCCGTCTTTGCGGACTAATAACCATGGTGACCTACCTTTTTATTGCAGAAAATACATTGTTATGAAGTTTTCAATCTTTTTTGAAAATTATTTGAAAGTTGCCAGTGTAGTTTTCGAAAAACTGAATTTCAGCCTTTCCAAAGGCTAAAATGCAATCTTTAAAGGCTAAAATACATTTTCTCGAAAACTACACTAGCGATTAATCAAATAACTTTCAAAAAAGGCTTGTGCGAGAAATTACTTTTTTGGATTCAAATACAGTAGCTTTTTGTTCATATCTCTGACACATATTGGAACTGTAGGGAGCCTCCTTAATCTGCTCTTAAATTTCAATTGTTTCAACATGTATTTGGCTACTTTCGTGACTCTGATTCTCTTTTAGACTCTGATTCTCTTTAAATTATGTACACTTAGGAACTATTTTGCCTTAGATTTTCAACTTTTTTTCACCCAAGATCTCGTCGAAAACTGCCCAACTCAACAGTATGGTACAACCGTGCACTGTTGCGAAGGTAGAATTTTGTTATCATATTAACTTGTCATGACTACCTAACCGGGGTGGACCCAGTGGGATCCCTTTGTTGTAAAGTTGCCTTTAACTTAAATACGGCGCGTATTTTTCCCAACACCCATAGACGGATTTTGTGTGTGTGTGCGGGGGTGCAGAGGTACTAATTAATATAACCCCCCAAACAAAATGTCCACCCCTCCAAAACAATTTCGACCCCTCCCCTCCACCCCCCCAATATTCAGCATAATAAAAAATAATTAAATAGTCCACTCCAACGTGCAGAGTGTTGATGATACAAAATAAACGTAGGAGTACACTCAAATAGAAAACGACAGTGCAACACTCTGAAACTAATCGCTCCTCGCTTGCATTCACTGGTTTATTGGAGCAATTGTAAAGTTTTGAAACTCTATTATCTCCCCTGAATAGAGTTTGCAGTGCCTTGTCATGCAAACAGCTTGCTTGCAAGGAACGTTTGGAATTTTTACGAACATTATTTTTAGTTTTTAATTATAAAAACTAGATTTAATCTGTACGCCCCAAATATTATTTACATCGGAGTTGCATCATAAATTGTACTTGGATTCAAACGACACAACGTCAATGACTTTATAAAAGTAAAAGCATATTGTGTATTGACCTATTGGGTTTACACTTTTACAGGTTCATTTAACTTTAACTCTCTCAAGTCTCAACAGACAATCGGACATGCCAAATCCATTGATATGACAACTTCAAAAAACTTTTTTTCGAAGCTAGAAATCATGATTTTTTTCAAATTTTTCTTGGGATACTTTGTTTTCTGCTCTCTAGACTCCCCCTCGCGGCTCTAGTGCCCCACCCCTAGGATATAGACCTTACTGAGGTTTGGTGACACTTTGTGTTGCTTCAGTCACCTGCTCACGGCTCACCCCCCTAAAATTTCTGGCACCACCCCAGTAAAAAATATGAAAATCCGTCTATGCCAACACCACCGTGATTTTCTAAATTTCAATACCTTCAGGATTTAGGGCATACCCTGAAATGTATCTCAATAGTATTCGTAATCATAGCCAACAGAAGCCTCTGCGGAGGAGAGAGAGAGGGCACACAATGATGATACAAATTTATAACGATGGTCACGGGTTACACTTGGATTGTGTTCTCGACGAATCTTTGTATGCATGGCCCATGTAGGCTGTAGCGAAGCAGCTTTCCACGACTTTAAGTTCCTTTCCGAGCCATCACAATGTTTACATTTCTGTTTATATCCACCATGCACTCAGAGTGAGTCTCTCAGTCTTCGCGAAACCTCAACAAATATTTATTTCATATAAAATCTCGAAGCGTCTGTCGAGGCTACGGATTCTCGTAGAATTTCGAGGAATGCATGTTCCGTAAGATCTAAAAGTTCAGACCTTTAAGGCTTTGCTCAACATATTTTTGCAATGCTGTTTTAAGACTATCATCGTGTAGTTTGGTTTCCTGATGTCGGCCATCTTTAATTTCCCGTAAACCACTATATGGCAGCTGACATGAAGTATATTAAAATACGATTATTAGGTTGGCAAAGAATCATCGTACACGCGTAAAAACGCTCAGATTGATGCAATACTGACGAAAACAGGATTGAACAATGTTTTGCTGCCCACATTGTTCATGGCTGTCAACAATATCGAACAATATTGTTACACCCGATTCAGGCTCAACAACATTGTTCAATATTGTTGACAGCTATGAACAACGTGAGCAGCAAAACATTAATTGTGCAGACCTGTGCAACGGGCTCGGCGTTTTTTGCCGTGTAGTGGCAGCGCTCGGCTGATAAAATTTTTATTCTATTTTAAATTTGTTTCATTTAAATTTATATTTTCTTTTTATTTAACTTTCATTTCACTTTTGTTTTTAGTCGGGCAGATGGAGGATCAAAATTATGGAAACTTACCACATCGTGGGACAATTTCATTTTGCCTTCATATTGTGCCCTGTTTTTCCCTTCTATCTGCCCGACTATTTAATTTCAATTTAAATTTGATTGTGTTTTTAAAATGGTTTTTAAAAATATTTATTTTTAAACAATTTCCTAACAAAAATTACGAAGAAACTATTGGCAGTCTCGCCCACCATAGACTTCGTACTTCTGATGCATTGCTTTGTGGAATAATGTACTGAAGGCCTTCGACTTTTCTTAGATCAGGTGACATTTCTTTCTCTGTGATCAAGTAACTTCAGACTAGCATTATGAGAGCTCTAAATTGACACTTTGGATGGAAAATTAATGGTTCACCCATTGTCCTCAAGCTTCTAAACAACCGCTTTAATGGTCTTGGTCGTTATTGTCGATTTCACCAAGGGAAATGTAATCACTGATATCCTTAACACACGGTACATCACTAATTACATCACTAACTCCCTTCTAAAATATTTCAGCTGCAAAAGAAAGTTTGTGTCTGAACAATCTGATGTGGGACGAGATTGAGGGTTGTTAGGGGTGATCCTCATAAGGTGGGGCTCTCGATACGTCCCGCTATGTCTTCTACCTCGAATTGTTCTAGTTTATTCTCCAGCTACAGCTTAGATAGGTTTCAGCTTTTGGGATGTTATCCAGCTAAAAAACTGATTAATCTCTTGCTGTTCTGAAAAAAAGGCATGAAATGACAAAGTGTATTTGAAATAAATTTTGCATAACAGCTAGGCCTTACAGAAAGTACGCATAAAATGTACGTCTCGCATAGAACACTAGTTCTGTTAATACACTCGAGCATCCGGGCCTACTGCCAGGCATGCATGTATTTATGCATATATAATCGCATTTACAATATTCGCCACATAAAATATTTCCTCCGATGGAAACATTTATATCAAACTTGCCAGACAGGTTTAATGTCTTTTTCACTGATGTAGGGGTATAATTTTGTTTTTGATATTTGGGGCGTTGGCATTACACGATTGAAATCTTGCTCACTCAGCATATTTAGCACTTTCCGTGGCTCGAGCACTTTTGAGTAGACTTTCTAGGGACTAGGGTAAAGCTTTGGTAAGGCTTTTTCAGCAAAGCGACAATGAAAAGCAACGCTTGCCTTAATTGGATATTTAACCGCTAAACTATTAGTAATTAACGCTAGTCAAACTATAATTTTTACGAGGGTTGTTCTAAAAAGGATGTTCACTTTTAATCGTTGCTTTAGGGGTTACGTAGCTAAGGGATATAATTATTTCTAGACTTGTGTTATTTTGCAACCAATGCACCATTTATGCACATGCAGACACATGCACGTTCGCAGCCAAGACATACACCTAAAATGTGTGCAAATTTCAGAACAATCTTTTAAAACGCACGCTTAGGTCGCCTTTTTAGTGCATGTATACGACTCAAAATTAACATATCTGAAAATTGACTGCAATGCTATTAGTTATTATGCATGCAATAAGATTTAGGAAAATAAATTAACTGAAAATTAACTTTAACATTACTGTAACAGCATATAGCTTCAAACTTACATCAAATTTAACTGAATTTTGCCTGAAATGAAAACGTCATTCCTACCACAAACTAACCTCGAACTTACTTCAAACTAACCTCAACATAACCTAACTCAACATGACCTCAATATAACATCAAACTTGCGTCAGTCAAACTTTAATTCAACCGACCTTACCTCAACCTATAAACTTTAAACTACTGGCCTCACTCCCTCATCTCAGTTTCAACCTAGCCTCAACCTAACTTCAATCTTGCCTAATTAAACTAACATGAAAGTAACGTGAACCTGAACTTTAAGTTTAACTTATAGTAAGCACGTCATCCCCCTCACTTCAACCAAACCTCACTCATTTCTGTCTCAAACTTCAAGTCAATTTCAGCCAAACGGCAACCTAACATCAACACAATAGCCCAACCTACCATAATGCCAATCTTATCTCATGCAGCCTTCCAGTGATTCAATCTCGGAACCTAACCTCAATCTTGCAAACAGAACAATGCAACAAAATCTTTTTGTCATTTTTATTGCAGAATACTTGACCACAAGAATGTTGTAAAATTTTACGGAAGAGCGTTGCAGCGTGAGGACAGTGGTGTTAAGTTAATCTTTGCAATGGAATTATGTGCAGGAAATTTGAGGTCATTTCTTTCAGCACAACCCGAGTGTATTCCAGCAAATTCACCGTACAGCCTAGCTGAAGTAGTTCGTGCAACGGTTCAACGGGCAAAAGATATTGCAATGGGGCTTCAATATTTGCATGAACTTGGCATTGTTCATCGCGACTTGAAGCCTGAAAAGATCCTGGTAAGAAATGTATTCTGTTAAGAGTTATTTCGGTATTCAATAATTTCGATGCCTTCTGAATTAATGGTTATCTCCATCCCCACAAAGGACTTTTGTCTAACTCGAAAACCATTTTTCCCAAAATATGGGTGGGGGAGGGGGGCTTATTTAATTAAAATTTTAATTTAATTTAATTGCTTTTCCATCATTGTGTGATACTAGACATAAACACATACGCACGCACGCACCCACACAAACACACACACACACACACACACACACACACACACACACATACACTAAAGTGATGGCTGGGTAACCACAACAGCCTGAAAAGCCAATTTCTGTTGGCCCAAAGATTAAAACACAAACATATATGCAAACACACAATTAAAACTCTAAAAACAGCAGTTCACTAGTTCAGTTAACGTTCTTGCACAGTTGCATTTTGGGCAGATAGTTTTAAATGTTCTTGGATCATCATCACATGTTATGCTCTCATGGCTGTGGAAGGAAGTTGTTCTTGTATATAATAATATACTGCGAAAAAATATTACTAGTTTTACTTACATTAATTTACAGATTGGAATGGACAATTGCTTGAAAATTGCTGATGTTGCTATTTCCAAAAGCGTAAATGAAGTGACAGGAACTGGATTTCGAACAGTCTTGTACATGGCCCCTGAAATACTTGCCGCGGAAATTCCTGATGTTCGCTCAGATATTTACAGTTTTGGTTTGATCTTGTGGGAGATGTGGTATGGAAAAGTGGCCTTTAGTGAGCTTGGCGTTATCTCGCGGAAGGAATTCAGTAAGTTGATCGAAAAAAAACATCGTCGACCCACAATTTTCAAGGAAGGAGTCTTTCCGCCTATCCCCACTTTTGAATCACTAATGAAGAATTGTTGGGCAACGGATCAACTTGTACGGTTAACTGCTGACGAATGCGTGGCTCAGCTAGATGCTATCTTAACTCGTTAAACATCGTAAGAGAACAGATCAATACGATTCATACTTTATTATGACTTATTATTAGCACAATTAGAATAATAAATTTACTGACGAAACTTGAGAAGACGGTGAAATTAAGTAATCACTGCTTTTCCAATTAGAATAAAGTATCGGCAGGCTGTTTGTAATAAATAAATAAATTATTAAATAAATAAATAAATAAATGAATTGAATTGAATTGATTTAATGACTACTGACTTTGTAACCCAAAAAGGTTAAATTACACCAGTAATACATAAATTAAGAGGATAAGTTAAAATTACATAATAATTACATATTTAAAATTATTTACATTTCTAAAAACTTATTTACTGTTAATCTTTAATATACTTTGAGGTAAAAACGAATTCTTAAAACGTTCGGTTCTGCAAACATAATTATGATATTTACATATCGGTCTTAGATCATATCCAGATAAAACTGTTTGTGGTAAAAGATCTTTGAGATTTTCATTGTCAATATTCTTCTCAAAGAAATGTTCGCATAATTTTTCTCGGCGATCTCTCAGTGACGTGATGTTAGTCGTGATCAGCGCTTCGTCGTACTTTTGCGATGGGAGGATGATTCTCAACGCGCGTTTTTGTATTTTTTCAATATCGTCACATAAATATTGTTGGATATTGTAATGCCAGACCTGGCATGCGTACTCTAAAACAGGCCTAATAATGGTAGTATATACAGTAATTAACGTGTCAATGCACGCGTTGGACCTTTTTAGCAGTCTTAGCATATAGAGCCTCTTGCTAGTTTTTTTAACTATGTTGATTATGTGTTCATTCCACTTCATGTTATCTTGAACTGTGAGGCCAAGGATACGGGCAGATTTCTCTCGTTCAATATTAACTTTATCGACTGTTAAACGGGGAAAGCAATGCTTCTTTTTTGCAAAATCAATAACCAGTTCTTTGCATTTTCCAATGTTTAGTTTCATATTATTACTCGTAGTCCAATTATTGATATAATTAACCAGATCTTGAAGGTTGCTGTTACAATCTGGGGCAATGGTTTCGGTAGTGGTGGTGTCATCAACGTATTTCCATCGGTCTTTCCAATCGGCGAGGAGATCATTTATCATGATTAGGAAGAGGATTGGGCCTAAAACAGTTCCCTGGGGTACTCCACCGTTGAGGATTTGCCATTCTGACACACAATGGGGCATTCTGACCCGTTGGCTTCGTTGAGTAAGAAAACTTCTTATCCAGTTTGTTATTAATGATGGAACGTCCATATCAGATAATTTACTGAGGAGGATGTTATGATCAATATGATCAAAAGCTTTGGAGAAGTCTAATAAAAAAATTCTCACAGCGTTTTTCGGCACATCAGTTTCGTTTAATAAGTGATGGAGAAGGCTCAATAATGCATGTGTTGTTGAGTAGTTTTTTAGAGATCCAAATTGCCGTTTATCGATCTTCTCACCAATCAACTTCATCAGCCAGTCTGCGACAAAACGTTCACACGTTTTTGACAAAGTGGCAGTAAGCGAGATGGGACGCAAGTCTTTAGTAATGTCCCTCGGCACCTTATTTTTTGGTACAGGGATGACGTCGGCTTTCTTCCATACCGCGGGAACAGACGCCTGTTGAACGGAGGCGTTGAAGATTGAAGTAACAGGGGGAGACAGCAGGGGCGCATAATCTTTTAGGACCCAATTCGGTATTTCATCTGGGCCAGCCGCTTTCGAGGATGATATTGAAGATAATTTATAATAAATGTCTTCTTCCCTAATAATGTACTCGGTTGGAATTGTAGTACAATCGCTTTGTAATTGGCTATCGGGGAAAGGGATAGGCCTAAGGGGAGGAATATCTCGAGTAACGGATACGAAAGCCTCGTTAATTTTTTCAGCAAGTTGCTTTCCAGAGACGACTTGCTCTCCTAGGACAATACTTGAAAAATATTTCTTCTTAGGGTAGCCAGCTATTTGTTTTACGGTGCCCCACCATTTATTAGGATCAGGGTTACGTTTCAATTGTTTCAATTTATGTTCTAGGAATGCAGATTTAAGGTACTTACTTTCTCGATTGGCACGATTACGTAGTCGCCGGTACAATTTGTCATTTTTCTGAAAAAATGCCTTCTGTCTGCTTTTAATAAGTTCCTTGTATGAAGGTGTTATCCAAGGCTTATCTCGGTCGTGCATTTTAACTACTTTACATGGAAGGAAGTGGTCTAAGCCGGTATGAATAACATCCTGAAAAATTTCCAGTTTTTGTTCGCACGGTGCAGTATGATACAGGTTAGTCCAATTATAGTTCGTTAGCCATCTTCCAAATGCAACTTTGGCACCTCTGTTACCGGGTCTAATTTTTATTTTCTTGCATCCGTTCAATGATTTACATTTTTTTTAAATGCATAAAACGGAATTATGGTTGCTGAGTCCGATGGGTGCGATCACCTTAGGAGAGTCACATGTGTCTGACATATTAGTAAGAATAAGATCAAGGACAGCATCTTTCCTGGTTGGTTGTTTTACGATTTGTTTCAAAGTAAAATGTCTTAATAAAGATGAGACAGGACATCTGTTAAAATCTACGAGTAAAAATATACCTGCATTTGGGTACTTATTGAGAGCGAGGTCAAGTGTTGAGCTGAGGTGATCTATAAACGCGGCGTTGTCGCTGGATGGAGGTTTATAGGCCACACAGACGATCAAACACGAGAAGCCTCGATTAAGTTTATAAGGTCGTACATAGATCCATAAGGTTTCAAAATTGATGTCATTAAATTCTGTTAGAATTTTGAACGGGATGTCTGATTTAATAAAAGCACAAACTCCACCGCCAAGTTTATCAATTCGATCACATCTTGCTATTGAATACCCGCGAATACAAACTGCTGCATCGTCGATTTTCTCATTTAACCATGTTTCGGTTATGAAGGCCATACTCACATCATATTGGTCAAGTATAATTTTTAATTCATCCACCTTTGGTAAAAGTGATCTTGTATTTGAGAGAAGGAATGTCAGTAAATTACTTTGGGCGCACTTTGGGCTTTGATATAGAGACGTGCTTTGATATAGGGATGGATTCTTGATTGGAATTTCAATTAGATTACGCGTTCCGCTACGGTTTCGTTTGCTAGTATTAGGAATACGTTCGTTATAACACGGAGCGCTGGACTGCTGACCTTCGAATTCATGGTAAGATGTAATTCTTACTGGTATAGTGTTTCGTTCCGGTGTGATTATAGTGTTGTTACTAGCTGCGACAGGGATCTCCAAGTTTATTGCAATGTGCGACGGACAAACTCCAGGTAATTCAACCAGTCTGCCTGCTGGCTGAATCGCGACCGAAAAAACGTATGCCAGTTCATCTTTCCTGTTTCATTCCTTTGAGTCTGGCGTGAGCGAGGCGCATGTGTCGAGTAATTAACAGGTAGGGGCAACCGTCCTATCCAATCAAGGGGTTTGGCCCCACTTCGAGATGTATGCATGGGGTTACTAACTGTCGCGTTAAGCGTTTCAACCAGAGGTAGGCGGTCCAACCATTTCAAAGATCCGGTCCCACTTGGTGCCGGCTGACTTTCGCCAGTATTAGCACAACTAAGGTTTGAAATATGTTGTACATTCTGTTTGTTTCTTGGTTTTGGCTTCACACAACTGACATTTGATTGTGGGCGAAAAACGGCTTGGGAATGTTGATGGAAATTACTTTGTTTTACAGGACTGACTAAGTTGTAATGATGAGCGTAATACTGCTTTGATTCATGTTTAGCAGAACCAGCGCCTACCCTAAGGGGTTTGGTTGTGTTAGCAGTCGATCCAATTTTAATAACTTCAGGCAGTGGCGTCGCCAGGTTGTTCATACTGGGGGGGACGAGTTGAGTGCCAAAGGCGCGAGACACCTAGGGGGGTTCGGGGGTTCGAAAAAATTTTTGTTTGTAGAGTCTCTAAAACGCTATTTCCCGCATTTTCAGGCAAGTTTTATGATAATCTGAAAGCCAAACATCGGCGATTTTTGTTACAAACTAACAGTTTTTACAAGGGCAACTTTCTGTTGCTAGCTAATCTAAATGTGTCAACAAGAGTATCCGATTCAATCTTATCTGCAATGTCTCTTTCTATGCTGATATGAACCAAATTTTCTAGACGTTCATCGGACATCGACGCTCGAAGGTAGTTGTTTATTATCTTCACTTTGCTATGTGCTCGTTCACAGGAAGCAACTGTTGCAGGAAGTGTAGCGACAATTTTTACCACCTCAAACAGATCAGGATACAGGTTGCTGATTGAATTTTCTCCAAAAACCTTTAAAAGAGTTGGCAGACAAAGCCAAGTCTCGGGTGCTTTCGTCAAGGGATCGTTGTTAGCTTTCTAAATTAATTCATCACACCCATTGTTGAAAAAACATTAGAAATGTTAGAAATTAAAATAATTGTACCCCCCCCCCCCTTTCTCTTCAGATTTAGAAAAATCTCAAAATTGGTCTTTAGAACAACTGGGGGGGACTCGTCCCCCCCAGTTCCCTCCCTGGCGACGCCACTGACTTCAGGATTGGCCTTGGGAATTTCTAATTTATGGTCGGAGGTGGATTTGCATACTTTATAATGATTCTGTTGACCTTTATTTATTCCTGATGCACCTTCGATTTGCTGGGTAACGTGTTTGTTAGAATTAGGGTAGGCCTAGCCCGCGTGCAGGCCCAAGGGAGCAGGCTCAAGGGAACTTGATAGTGGGCCTGCAAGCAAGGCCCGGTATTTTGTAAAACGCCCCTTTTCATAACACGCCCCATTCGCGCGTCAATTGTCAAAAAAGAACCAATGGCAGCACCCAAATATTAACAAACAAACTCGCATTAAAATGTTGCGGGGTTTTCTCTGCATATTCAGAACATAAACAATGTGTAAATGGCTGCGTTTTAACTCCAAAAAAGCAAGCAACGCAGTCAGTAATTGCCAAATTTGCAAGTGCTCATTTTCAACTAAAATCGGAACAGGCAAATTAGGACGAATTTCAACAGAAAACC